GTGACGAATATAGATACATATGAATGGTTTTATGTTGTTATGCAGGAGATATATTGCAATGATTGAAATGTGCAAGATTGTTGGAAATAAAAGTGAGATGATTACATTGCTACTTCCCCTGGCTGAGTATGTGTTAAATGTGATGCTTATTCATTTTCAAGACAGGTGAGTTAAATGTGATATTATATGCATATACTTGGGAACAATGCGAGGTTGAAAGTGATATCTCTGTTTGGACTTTGCAGCACTGTTATTCCTGATGGGAATGCAAATATTAAAGCAATTTCATATCATGGGGAGTTGGAGTCGGGACATGAAATAAGTTCATTGTGTGGGAAATTGATTCCCATCTTAGAAAGGCTTGAGTTGCTGAGTGAGGTATTCTTCTGTCCATCACACTCTTTTACTACTTCCAATATACTTAGTTACTGAAAATTTAAACTAGAAAATTGTACCTCGGGACGGGGATGATCCTGAGTTTATAAGTAAGGAATACTTCTCCAATGGTATGAGGCCTTTTGGGGAAGCCCAAAGCAAATCCATGAGAGCTTATGTTCAAAGTCGACAATATCGTACCATTGTCGAGAGTCGTGATTCCTAACATGGTATCAGAGCCATACCCTGATACGAGGTTTAGGAAATGATCCTGGTTTATAAGGATTGTTTGGAGGGAGTCCACATTGGCTAATTTTAGAAATGATCATGGGTTTATAAGTAAGGAATACTTCTCCAATGGTATGAGGCCTTTTGGAGAAGCCCAAAGCAAATCCATGAGAGCTTATGTTCAAAGTCGACAATATCATACCATTGTCGAGAGTCGTGATTCCTAACATGGTATCAGAGCCATACCCTGATACGAGGTTTAGGAAATGATCCTGGTTTATAAGGATTGTTCGGAGGGAGTCCACATTGGCTAATTTTGGAAATGATCATGGGTTTATAAGTAAGGAATACTTCTCCATTGGTATGATGTTTTTTGGGAAACCAAAAGTAAAGCCATGAGAGTGTACGCTCAAAGTGGAAAATATCATACCATTATGGAGAGTCGTTATTTCTAACACGGTATCATGCCACCCTTAACTTAGCCATGTCAAAAAAATCCTCAAATGTCGAACAAAGGATAATTTTGTTCGAGGGCTCCATAGGCCTCAGAAGACTGTATGGTTTTCTTTGTTTGAGTGGAGGATTGTTGAGAATTATTAAAAGGAGTAGTCTCACTGGATTTATAAATAAGGAACATTATCTCCATTGGTACGAAGTTTGTTGGAGAAACCAAAAGTAAAGCCATGAGAGTTTATGCTCAACGTGGATAATATGATACCATTATAGAGAGACTATTACGAAGAATTGTGGTTCCTAACAGAGGTGGATACACACTTTCACTTTCACTTTCACTAATCTTCCAAACACTTTGAGTAACCAAAAGTTAATATATGATGTGTTTTGTTTTGTTTTGTTCGTTGGTTCATTCCAGAATAAAATTGGCGAGAATGTGAAGGTGTTTGGGAGATTGGCGAGTTCAGTGAAGGAGGTGGCAATTCAAAAGTTGGATGTATGATGATGAGGTGGCAGTAGTGGTTAATTGGTTGATGTTAATGATGATATCATTTTATTTAATTCTAACAAAGTTTGTAATTAATTATTTTTGTTATAATATGTTTGATTTTATTGTTTTAATTATACATATAAATGTGAAGAGAGGAATGTAAAGGCAAATCCAATCCATGGGGCACCCCATTGAAGTTGAGGTAAGTTTTAGAGATTTAATGCAATGCCCCTTAGCAGACTCGTTTTAAAGCCTTGAGGGGAAGCTCGAAAGGGAAAGCCCCGCAAGGGAAAGCCCAAAGAGGGTAATATTGGCTAAGGGTGTGGAAACCTTCCCCTAGCAGACCCGTTTTAGAGCCTTGAGGGGAAGCCCAAAAGGGCAATATCTGTTGAAGGTGTGGAAACCTTCCCCTAGCAGACATGTTTTAAAGCCTTGAGGAGAGGAAGCTCGAAAGGGAAAAGCTTAAAGAGGACAATATTTGTTAGCGGTGGGTCTGGATCGTTACATTTAAGTTGTATTCGAACAACGATGAGCTTCACAGAATACGGATGCAGGCTATATATACCAATTTCATTTTCTCACCACTAAATCATATCACAAAATTACAACAAAAGAATAGCTTCACTTCCCTCTTTTCTCTCTCTCTCTCTCCTCTCTTCTAGCTTTGTCTTTTTCTTACCGATTGGGTTAGAAAATATTTGGGAGTAAAATTCAAATTTCTAACATTTTAATGAATATTCTTAAATTTTTAAAACTTGTGTTAAAAATTTTTTAAGAGTGTTTGTAAAACTTTAGGGAAAAAAAAAAAAAAAGTAATGTATAAAAACGATCTTCTTCGTTACCCTCCCTTCCTTTTCTGGGAGTTTCAGATTTGAGTTTGATCTCACGTTGACGTTTCCATGGCGAATGCGTGGAAAAGAGACAAGTCCCCGAGATTCCTCTCCCCCATTTTCCTCTTCTTCCTCTTTGTCTTCTCCATCCTCATCCTTTTCTTCTTCCTCCTCGGAAACTCAAGCCCTTCGGACCAATCCGCCCCTACTTTCACCATCAAACCCCATTATTCATTTCCAACGATAATCTCCCCCTTCGATTGCTTCAAATGCCCTCAATCCTACCCGGTAATTGCCAACGTCGTGGAAGGCGTTCGATACCCGTTTCTGTTTTCGATCGCGGATTTGGGGAACTTGCCCGATAAGCCCCACAAGAACATCGTCAGGATGCTTAAGGGAAAGCCCTTTCGGAAGCCTGGCATTTCTGTCACGATTCAAGAGGTTTTGGAGAAGATGAAGGGCCGCAATTCCAGAGATGGATTTGTTGTTGATGTGGGTGCCAATGTTGGAATGGCTAGTTTCGCCGCTGCTGCGATGGGGTTTCGTGTTTTGGCGTTTGAGCCTGTTTTTGAAAATTTGCAGAGAATTTGTGATGGAATTTATCTGAATAGGGTTGGGGAATTGGTTTATGTGTTTCAGGCTGCTGCTTCAGATAGTCTTGGCAATATCACCGTGCACAAGGTATTTCATCTATTTCATTATCTCAATCTTTGCAGTTTTGGTTCTTGCTGCTGAACTTAGTCTCGTTCGTGATTAGATCTTAAAATGAATATTTGCCTCATTCAAATATGTTGTCAAGATTGCATTCTTTTTGGGAGCTAACTGAGTGGGCTGTCGCTGATGAAGATTGGGAGTTAATTTAACTCTGCAATGTATTTTTCTTTTCATCGGTTCAATAATAATTTCAGGGCGAGGAGATCTTTGGAATAGTAATCGGTGTCGGTCAAATGTTGTATTTTAGAAACTTATGTTCTATGGTCTCGAAAAAAAATGAAGTTCGTATTCAATATATCTACACATTTCTATCTTCCAGGTGACCCCTTGCTTAGAGGTCACATGTTCGAATTTTTGACATCAAAGCCCTTAATTACTCTTGCTTAATTTCTCGAGAGTCTTGAGCCTTTAGTTGGTATAAATTTTTACTCTGAGGGTGATTACCTACTTTGGATATTTAAATTTCACTAGTTTCTCGATAACCAAATATAGTAGGGTATTCTCTTCTATGAAATTAGTCGAGATGTGTTCGTGATTCTTATACTTATAATATAAAAACTGTGAGATCTCACATCTATTGAAAAGAGGAATAAGCGCCAACGAGGACGCTAGCCCCAATGGAGATAGATTGTGAGATCCCACATCAGTTGGGGAGGAGAACGAAATATTATTTATAAGAGTGTAGAAACCTCCCTAGTAAACACGTTTTAAAAACTATAAGAGGAAGCTCGAAAGCGAAAACTCAAAGAACACAATACCTATTAACCATAGACTTGGGTCGTGTATATTTAGATTGAAATTGGCTTTGAACTCTTGATTTCTTTGCTTTTATAATGAAAGGGCGGCATTGGGACTTTTCCTGATCTGGTTTTTTCTTTCATAATATTTATGATTCACAGAAATGCTCATTGATTTCTGCTTATTACACAGTTGGTTGGACGGCTTGATAACAGTGCTGTATCAGCAACTGGTGCAAAGTTAGCCTTCAAATCCAATGAAGAAATAGCAGTTCAAGTTCAGTCAATTCCACTAGATGAAGTAATCCCAGATTCAGAACAGGTGCTCTTAATAAAAATCGATGTTCAGGGATGGGAGTATCATGTTCTAAAAGGAGCAAAACAAATTCTGTCTAGAAAGGGCACTGAAGCCCCATATCTCATCTATGAGGAAGATGAAAGGCTGCTAAAAGCTAGTAATAGTAGTAAAAGAGAGATCAGAGAGTTCCTTCATTCTGTTGGTTACCATACTTGCATTCAGCATGGTACAGATGCACACTGCACCAAGACTGCTTGAAATCAAATTCATTAGCAAACCATGTCCAAGAACAAAGAATCTACACTTCAAAACCACTTCTCACTAAGAAAATTCGAGTCATCTTGGCGTCTTATCGTCTAATGACCGAACAGGGTATAGAGACTGCCTTGGAAAAGAGCCATTCTTCATCTCAATTGCCAGATGAAGGATGCAGCAAGCATTTCATAAGTATATGAATGGAGTTATTATATGGAGAAGAAGCTGCCTTGGGACTTGAAAAATCAACAGGGCTGGATTCATGTGAGATGTTCTTGGTTCCTGACATTTTGTTGTAGCATTCTTCAGCTTGTTGCTAGTTGATTTTGTAGATTATAACGTTTATTTTCCCATTGGATTCAATACTTATCTTAACATTTGATGATAGGAAACCATGTGATTGTATTTTGTTGAGCTGAACCATTCATTCTTGTGGTAGCTTGCTTATACTTCCGATGACCATTCTTCTTCCTTTCATCAGTTAGCTTAGGAGCCATAAGTGGGTTGAATCAGTTTTCATTTGTATTAAGATTGGGCAGTCCCAATTAAACTTGTTAGAATTACAAATAAAGATATTCAATCCTCAATAGTATGAATGTATCTCTTAATGTAGACTATAATTAATAAGAGGTACACCAATCCATTCCCTAGAGAGATCCAAATATAAGAGAGATCTTATGAGTATACTTATATACAAATGGTTCATGTCAAGAACTTGAGCTATACTCGTTCGAAAGTTTCTAGTACTCCGGTGGTACATACTTCCTTCATTTACACGGTAAACTTTACTTAAATGATGCTGATGTGACTGACAATAAAAGAGAGTAAACTAAGAAAATTTCGGTAGAGGCAAATTTGAGGTAAATTTTAAAGTTTCTACTTTGTTCGGACTGATCAAAAGGATTGAAGTATCAAAGTTCTCATTCATCATAAACCTTTCAAGTGTCAGGTTAGTATTACCTGATCATGTTTGATGGAAAAAGGGTGTTCTTTATGATTCTTTTGGTCCGCTGGTTTTTGAAGGACCAGCTCTTTCAACCATGACATCATACAGTTGCTTCCCATTCTGATCATTAAAGAAAAATTGTAGTTAACAAAACTTCCCATTCTTCTAAAGAAGATAACAAAACCCGGTTAGAAATCACGACTCTCCACAATTGTATGATATTGTCCACTTTTAGCATAAGCTCTCATGGCTTTGCTTTGGACTTTCCCAAAAGATCTCATACCAATGGAGATAGTATTACCCATTTATAAACCCATGATCTTCCACTAAATTAACCAACGTGGGACTCACTCCCAATAATCCTCAACAAACACCTCATTTGCATCTAGTAGAACTTACAAATATCACTGGGAAGAAGTGCACTTGGCCTTCTGGCTTTGTTTGAGTCTCTTTAAAGTACACCAGAATTGGGAAACTTGGCCACCATAATTCCCAATTCACAAAAGTTGAATATCTGCAATAAAATAGCATGGATTCAATTCATTTTACATGCATGATTCATTCGGGTGTGTAAAATCACCTACTTCCAACGGTTCTTTCCGCCCACAAACGCATTTTCTCCAGACTCCTCAAGCTGATCTCCAATTTTTACCTCCTAAAATCACAGAACACAGAACTGGTTTTGTCAATATTGAATCTAAGAACTTTTGCAGAGAGATTGGTCTCAAGAGGATCATAAACAAAATTTAAAATCCGTGACCGAATGCAAAGCGAAGAAATATGTTTCCAGATCCCATATTTGATACAACAATAAAGAAATATTTCGCAAAATTAAGTGGACATACCAATGCGTCATTGCCAAAGACAAATCTTACACGAGTAGCCTGGAAGAACGAAGAAAAAACCATCAACTGGTACTTCGAAGAACATACATGCATCTTCAATAGCTTATAAAGAAACTTGCATAGTCCAGAAAAACTTGCACCAAATATTCTTCTCAAGGTAAAATTTGAGGGCATCTTCTCGATACACGTAACAGCTCAAGCTCACTGCTAGCAGATATTGCTTTGGCTCGTTACGTATCGTCGTCAGCCTCACGGTTTTAAAATGCGTTAGCAAGGGAGAGGTTTCCACACCCTCGAATGCTTTGTTCTCCTCTCTAACCGATATGGGATCTCACAATCCACCCCCCTTGGGGTCAACGCCCTCGCTGTCACAACGCTCGGTGTCTGGCTCTGATAACAGCCCAATCCCACCGCTAGCAAATATTGTCCGCTTTGACCCGTTACGTATCGTCGTTAACCTCACGGTTTTAAAGCGCGTCTGCTAGGGAGAGGTTTCCACACCCTCAAAAGGAATGCTTCGTTCTCCTCTCCAACCAATGTGGGATCTCACAATACATCTTAATACATCTTAAAACCCTGTTAGTGAAAGTTTCTTTCATGAAGATCTATTGTTTTTTATTATTACCTGAACCAGTAGCAGTAGCCCAAGAAGACCAACAGGGACAGCTGCTATCAAATTTTCATTATAAGCTAACCCACCAGCAGCACCTGTTACAATTATGATGGGCTTTAGATGAAGGGGAAGGATAAATTTCTCAGAAAAATAACAGTGAACTATAAAATGTAGGTTCAAACGCTAGTTTGTTAGAGATGCAAACATAGTTCTACATCAGATCCAAGTAAAAAAAGGATAAATACTCGTTGATATAAATTGTTTTTGGTAGAATCCAATAGTAAATCATGTGAGCTTAAGTTCGAAAATATATTGTTGTCCAATCATATTTGAGTAGTGATTTTGAAACTATATGTATGTTTACTTGCTAAGGTGGCCTTCTTTTAACCTGGATTTTGCATGACATATGAGGAATAACCAGAAACTCCAATTTTCAACAATGGTTTTGCTCTCTAAACGTCTGAACTTCGAAAAAAAGTGTAGCCAAGACTTACAGGCAAAGAATTCTTAGTACCCACCAAGTAATACTATCGGAATTCTGTAATCTGGATCAGGTATTACAGTCTCTCGGCTGCCCTTGACCCTCCTTCCAAACTGTGAAACCCAAGAGTTAGCTTTCTTTTTCCTTCTTAAAGAAAAGGCCACAATAGACATTGAAAGTAAATGAAGAAGGGTGAGGAAGAAAACCACTGAGGCCACAACAGACAAGCTACCACCATTGCCTTTTATGTTTCTTCTCAGAGGACTTTTGCCATACACTTTATCGGCACCATAAAATGTGCTTCTCAAATTCCTTAGAGAACCATCCACTTCCTTAACTGATCAAACACACCATTAATGCAGAAACTTTTAGAACAAAAATCAACCCCATCGCTGCAGATTTTAAATTTAGACTAAGGAACCAAATATCAGAATTTGTAAAGGCAAAAGGAAAACCCATCTCCCTTAAAAAGAAAAAAACTGAAGAACAAAGCATGAATTTCACAATAAATCTGGGCTGAGAAATTACAAAACTCACTTGGACAAGAGAAAAATCGAGAAGAAGACAAGAGATTGCAGCCCATGATCCTGAATTCGCTTCTTTCTCTGAAGACAAATCAAATTTGCGGTTTTTAAGAGGACGAGAAATGAGTGGAAGTGAAGTGTTACCTCATGCAGAACGTGAATTTACATAAATGCCCCCGAGTCCCCTAACAAGTGACAATATAATTTACTTTTGTAAAAAAAAAAAAATTGAAACCTTTGTGATAATAATGTAGGATTGATGATTAATAAGTAAAAATTTTGGGATCGGGTTCGTCCTCTCTCCCATAACTTTACGGAACCTGATGTATCAATATTTAATTAGAACCTTCAATTTCATTCAATTGAACCCGAGATTTGTACAAACATTTAAATTTTTATCCTTCATTCAAATTTCGCTATATCTATCTGCTCCATGCGATAAATAGCAAGTTACCGACCCTCAAAATTCTGTAGCTATGTGTATAAGACTTTATAGCTCAAACCCGAATACGAAAAACTGAGTCTCGACCAATATTCTTCGATGGATTTTGTGAGGATAAAAAGTTTTGAGTAAAATTCAAACTTTTTGAATGGAGGGCAATAAGGTAATTAAGGTGCAGGGGATAATGGGCCTTATCTAGTTAAAACCACAAACAAGACGATCACTCACCGCAGAAACAGAACGCAAAGCTCATCACAAAACTTTCTGAATTTCACTCCTCACCAACAAATCCCAAGAATTTCAAAACCCCATTTGAATGGCATATTCTATATGTTCTTCCACACCCATTTTCTCCTTTAATGCCTCAACCAAGCCCAACCCTGGTATGTTCTTCTCTAATCCTGCTTTTGTTTCTATTAATTCCCTTTCAAGATATGTTCATAGCCATTTCTTTTCGCATTTTGTAGGGGTTTTTGTTGGCAACTCAGTGCCCCAGAAGGCTTTTCGGATCAATGAAGCGTTTCAAAGAACAAACCCCAGGAAGCTTTTGTCCGTTGAGGTCAAGGTATGGTTTCTCTGGACATTTCTTGTTAACTTCTCTTCGTTCTTGTGCAATGAACTTGATTGGTTATGGCTGATTTATGTACAAATTGTAGCACTGGAAATCATGGGATAGTCTGTAACTCTATGTCCTAGATGAAGGATTTAATTAGGAACTTCTTAACGTAGGAATGGAAGGGCATTTTTGAACAACCATTAGCTAGGTAGATGAGAATTAATTGAGTTTGAAATAAGGTTTGCAAATCGAACTGTCTGAATCGAGTTAATTTTATCGTTTTTTCATCGTAGAGATTTGATTATCTAAGTTTTTGGTCGAAGTTACAATGTCTTAACTATTGGTTAGAGAGGGGAATGAAACATTTCTTATAAAGGTGTGGAAACCTCTCCCTAGTAGACATGTTTTAAAACCGTGAGGCTGACGGCGATATGTAACGGGTCATAGCGGACAATATCTGTTAGCGGTGGGCTTGGGCTATTACAAATGGTATTTGAGTCCGTTACTGGACCATGTGTCAGCGAGGACACTGGTCTCCCGAAGGAGATGAATTGTGAAATCCCACATTGGTTGGAGAGAGAAACGAAACATTTCTTATAAGGGTGTGGAAACCTCTTCCCAGTAGACGCGTTTTAAAACCGTGAGGCGGACAACGATACGTAACGAGCCAAAACGAACAATATCTGCTAGCGGTGAGCTTGGGCTGTTACAAATGGTATTAGAGCCAGTCACCAGACGGTGTGCAAGCGAGGACGTTGCGCCCCCAATGGGGATGGATTGTGAGATCCTACATTGGTTGGAGAGAGAAACGAAACATTTCTTATAAGGGTGTGGAAACCTCTCCTTAGTAGTGCGTTTTAAAACCGTGAGGCTAACGGTGATACGTAACGGGCCAAAGCGAACAATATCTGTTAGCAGTAGCTTGTGCTATGTTTGGTTTAATGGATTTGAAGGTAATGGTTGTTGGTTTCATTTTTTCGATAAGTTGGTAATGTCGTCGATTTTGGCCTAACACTAATCGAACTGAGCTGATTATACCTCTAATGAATTTCATGATACTTTGAAACAAAGGAAGAACTCTTCTTTTTCAGTTTGTTTGAATGTGTTATAATCTTGCTTTGGCAGGCTTCAGATGGTGCAGATAGTAATAAACCAACCACAAAATACAAGAGCATAGTTTGCACAGACTGCGATGGAAATGGTAAGTGAAATCCTTATAGAAAGTTGAGACTTCCACTGTCATATCAGCTGTGTTACTTTGACTATGTTTATACTTATAAAAAACCAAATATGGTAGGAAATAGAGCTAAAGATCAACTGATTACCTTCGATCTTAATTCTTTTTGCATTCGGGGCACAATTGAGATGCCGTTTCGGGGTTATCATAGATGAACTGTCCGACATAAGGCAAGTGATGAGATAGAGGAATTCCCCACGATGAGAAGGACAACCTCAGTCCAATGCCACTCAGAAGTGGAAGCTGTGGACTTCCAAGAGCCCAGCACAGATGATCACCTCTCCCTTTTCACGCACCATTGTTTGCACTGTTTTCGTCTACACGTTCGTTTCTTGGGGCCGTGTCTCCAATGTTCTTGGATCAGCTCGAGGTTCCTCGTTTCATAGATAGTTTGAGTTTACTGATTTTTTAGCCTCAATTTTCAGGTGCTGTCCAATGTGCTCAGTGTCAAGGAACAGGAGTTAATTCAGAGGATCACTTCAATGGGCGGTTTAAAGCTGGTGGCTTATGCTGGTTGTGCAGGTATGCACAAAATGCTCTCCCTGCTTTTAACATGTACTTAAACTGAGGCATCAATATTTTCTATATTACGCCACCGAGTGGGGCTCGACAATAGGTTTGAGTTAATGATTTTCAAACTTTCTTTTCTCGGTTGAAGTCTGATTTTGATGATTCAATGAGTCATCTACTTAGAGGGCGTTTAGCTCACGAACTAGAGTATTATAATTCAGAGCTAGAAAGGTCAAACTTATGTTATGTGGGTTAAAGTCCGATTATGATGACTCAATGAGTCATCTACTTAGAGGACGTTTAGCTTACTGTAACTCAGAGCCAAAAAAAGTCGAACTTATGTTACGGGGATTAAAGTCCGGTTTCAATGACCTTGATGAGTCATCTACTCAAGGGGCGTTTGGCTCACAAACTAGACTACTGTAACCCAAAGCTAAAAAGATCAAGCTCATGTCATGTGGGTCAAAACGACTGCATCTATTATCCACGAGTCTAGTCAAGTATGCATAATCACGACCACTGTTCCTTTCGAGATTTCATATAGAATTCCTTGAAAGAATTAACAATACTGAGGCTACCGTGATGAACATTGCAGAGGCAAAAGGGACATCCTATGTGGGGGCTGTAATGGAGCAGGTTTTGTGGGTGGATTCATGAGTACAGCTGATAGTTAGTTCATCAAACTCACCAGTTCTTTCAGCTGCACCACAAATTTGAGTATTTTAAGATGAAAAAGCCTATTAGTTTCAGTAATTTTGTATAATGGGTCACATTATTTCTAAGTCTGTATTTCAAAATTATGAATGTTCTTCTTTTTCTATATTGTTTTGTTGCATAATTTGAGATCGTTGATCGTAATGAATGATTTTTACACGATTTTTGGTTTTTTAATGATGAAAATTGCCTATTTTTTCTGAATAGTCGTGAAATGTTAATCTAAACATAACTCAACTAATTAAATATTATAACCTCGATAAAATAAACTGTTCATTTGAATCTTCGTTCTCATTGTTGAACGAAAAAAAAGTAGTGGTGAAATGAATGACGATGTTTATACTATAGTTTTTCTATTTTCTCGGTGTCATCGTTAAATTAATAAAAATACCTTTAAATTTTAAAAATACTCTTAAACTTGACACTTTAGTCGCCTTTGACTACACTTTCATAGTTCTGATAGATATCATGTTGGGAATCACGACTCTAACGTGTTGCCTATGTATTGCTAAACGAAGCATGAAGGAATGACGCTTTCTCCTGCATTGCCACCATTGTTGCCCCTCTCACACTCCAGGGGGAGATGGTGAAATGTGGTGGCATGTGGTTTGCAACGTTTGTGTTGGAATGCTACCTGGTTGATCCTGCCAGTAGTCATATGCTTGTCTCAAAGATTAAGTCATGCATGTGTAAGTATGAACTAATTCAGACTGTGAAACTGTGAATGACTCATTAAATTAGTTATAGTTTGTTTGATGGTATTTGCTACTCGGATAACCGTAGTAATTCTAGAGCTAATACGTGCAACAAACTCCGACTTCTTGAAGGGATGCATTTATTAGATAAAAGGTCGACGCTAGTTCTGCCCGTTGCTCTGATGATTCATGATAACTCGACGGATCGCACGACCATCGTGCCGGCGACGCATCATTCAAATTTCTGCCCTATCAACTTTCGATGGTAGGACAGTGACCTACTATGGTGATGACGGGTGACGGAGAAGCTTCCCTAAAATGCCTCCTACCAATAGATCCGCAAAAAGCTTCGTACCAATAGAGATAGTATTCTTCATCTCCTACTAAATTAGGGTTACACTCCTAATAATCCTCTGCCATGGGTACTTATTTCTTACAATCTCCTTATCAGATCAGCGTCCACTTCTTCTCTCACTACTTGAGCGTTGTTATTTCTGTAAGTTCCTTCTCCATTTTTGAAGTTCTTAGCTTCTTCCAATTGCCAATTTGTGAATGATTTTCTTTGGGATTACCTACTTGTATTATGGATCATGAAACACTGCCCCGAGATTTCTGTTCCACCAAAATTGGGCTCTGTTTACGCGGCCTAGTTAGGATTTGGGATGAATTATTGAGAGAAGTATTCAACGGCCGCATTGCGGTGGTCGTTTTCAAATTCCATACTTTCTTGCGTTGCGGATATTGGACATTGCGTAATGCCCACCAACTGTTTGATGAAATTCCTCTATGAAATGGTATATTTTACTTCTTCATCCGTCTTCATTTCCCCTCAATGTGGCTGTCACTTTCCAAAATTCTGCTCGTTTCGTGTGACGAATATCGAACTTTGCATATTGCCCACCGAATGTTCGATGAAATTCTATTATAAATTGGTATAATTGTACATATTCTCCCTTCTTCATTCCCTCTCAATATGGCTGTCGCTTCCAAATTTATACTCCTTTCTGATGATGAACATTGAACATTGCATAGTGCCCACCAATTGTTTGACTAATAAGTGGTATGCTCTTACATGTTCATCCTTCTTTGCTCCCCCACACATAAAAGGAAAAAAGTAATCCATTGAGAATTGAAATTTGTGGTTTTAGATTCAAAAGGTAGCTGTTTTTTCTGATGATGAACATTGAACATTGAACATTGCATAGTGCCCACCAATTGTTTGACTAATAAGTGGTCTTCTCTTACATGTTCATCCTTCAAAAAGTAATCCACTGAGAATTGAAATTTGTGGTTTTAGATTCAAAGGGTAGCTGTTTTTCTGTTTGGTATATCAATTTTTCTCTAGAACCTCTGATTTTGTAAGTACTAGTTATGATGTCGGATCTGTACAATGAAGAAAGGCTTGATCCTCAAATGCAATGGATATCATAATGTCACTCAGAGTGGGAAATTGATGCATGTAAACGATGACCAAGGTACACCTTGTTGGTAAAGTCTACCACTTTAGAGCCAAGCATTGACCGGTTGAAAATGCTTGGCGGATTGCTAAGTTCAAATGATGTTACGAGATGGGGTTGCTGAAAATGTTGAAATTACTGAATAGTGAGGTTCTATGCAGCTCAAGGATCAACTATTTCATTGGATCATTATGGATTCGTTTTCGATAACATGACCATGTGAGTATTAGGAACTCAAAGTTTCTACTCAATGGAGTTCATCCCTTTTCATAGTCTAGTATTTTATAGAAAACTGAGTTTTTTCTTATATTGGCTCTGATATGCTTTTACCTTTACTATGCAGCTCAAGGATCAATTGTTTCGTTGGATCATTATGGATTTGTTTTGATAACATGACCTTGTGAGTATTAGGAATTTAAAGCTCTCTTCTACTCATTGGAGTTCATCCATTTTCATAGTCTAGTATTTTACAAGAAATTGAGTTCTTTCTTATATTGGCTTTGATATGCTTTTACCTTTACTATGCAACTCGAGGATCAGCCGTTTCGTTAGATCATTATGGATTTTTTTCGATAACATGACCTTGTAAGTATTATGAATTGAAAGTTCCCTTCTATTTAATGGAATTCGTCCCTTTTCATATTCTAGTGTTTTATAAGAAACTGAATTCTTTCTTATATTGACTTTGATATGCTTTTACCTTTACTATGCAACTCAAGGATCAGCTGTTTCATTGGATCATTATGGATTCGTTTCGACAACATGACCGTGTGAGTATTAGGAATTTAAAGTTCACTCCTACTCAATGGAATTCATCCCTTTCCCTTTTCCTAGTCTAGTATGTTTTTTGGAGCATTAATTTTGGACCCATTTGGTAATGTTTTTGTTTTTGTTTCTCGTTTTCTATCGCTCGTTTCTCTTTTTTAGTAAAAGAAATATACAAAATTTTAGTGTTATATTTATTATGCATTTTAGAAGTAATAAAATGATAAAATAATACTTTTATTTATATTTTGAAGAAAAAAAAAATAGATATTTTAGTTGTTTTAAGATTTTCACGCTTTTTTTTTTAAACGAGAGACTAGAAACAAGAACAGGTATCAGTTTTTCAGAAACTGAGAACAAGAAACACGAAGACTTCTATGTGTAATGTTTTGATGCATTCGTTTCCCTTCTTTGATTCTATTCATTACAAACATTTCTCGGTCACTCTGAATCTCTTTATCATCAAATTAAGTGTTACTTTCATCATTTGTCGGAAGAAAAAAGTTTCTAAAGATCTTGTGAACATTAGATTTACCATTCCTTTATAAGATTGTGCATCATTTGAACTTTATATATCAGTTTTACGTGTTATGGTTAGCATCGAAAGTACTTCACACGAACATCAAAGGAAGACATACAAAGCTATAAGGGAACTTCCTTGTAGTTGGTGATACCTGGAACCATTCTACTTAGCTACTTCTTCCAGCACTGGAACGTTCTTCCATGTATCTTCTAATCCGTTCATTTGCAACGGTGGCAATGAGAAGACACTAACGGTCGAGCTCCTGCTTCGGATTTCCTTCAAAGCCCGTAATGCAGATACAGTGCTTTTCATATAAAGCGACTCCATATACTCTATCTCTGAAAGTTCCTTGGTTGCCTTGAGCAGATCATCAATGTTGGTGGTGGCAGCCTTCATAGGAGCACCGACTTCATCGACTCCATTCGAACCAGAAGAAGGCTGCTCATTCAAAGGGAAGAGGAGATCCAACATCAGCTCGCACTGCTTTACGAGCGTGTATAGCAAGTCGGTCGTAAAGAAAGGCTGTTGCAGAACTTTCTGACTGTAGGGCAAGCGGATGAGCGCGCCAGTCCTTTTGTCATACTTCTTTAGAATCTTCACAAGCCCTATAAAAAGGTATGCAAGTTGTCGCTTAGATGATTTGAGCAATAACGAATTACTTCAATCTTACAGAGTGTTCATCTTTTTCATAGGCAACTGAAGCATATTCTACGCACAAGGAATTGATTCAGCGGCATGTGGCCACAATTTCAAGATCCCAAGTAAGTAAAGAAATCATTATGTGCCGTAAGAACATAAAAAAGCATAAAGTTCATCAATACTGAAGAATTTTCATCATAATGAAAGATGGAGGAAAAGATGTCATATACCAGACTTGACCACAAAAGGGTGTCAATACATTCAACCATGCCAAGTGCACCAATCAATGCATAAAAGTAGAGAAAGGGTAAAGGAAAAGCAAAGGGAAAAAATGCATACCTGTAAAGTTAAGGGCACTATAATTCTCCAGTAGAACCATTTCTCCATGGAAGTCCACAATTTCCTTGCGAATTTTAATCATCTCTTCATTGGAATCCATTGCTTTTCCTACCCTGTCCTGTAGCTCCTGAATTATTCAAAAAGGAAAGTGGAAGCAATTTGGTTATCAGCTTGGAGACCTGTATTGTTTGATTGGGTGTAGTTTCTAGAGATGAATTTAACAATTTAATCAAACTATTTTGGTGCAAATTTCTCAATCATGAGGTTTTTCTCTACCTGCAATCTGGAATGAATGTGAATCATCAACTAGTTCTACAGATTGGCACAAACGACATGAATGAACATTAAACAATTACAGAACATCTTGTTTCAAGAACCACAGGATTAAATGCCTAAATTGATCCGTAGACATCTAAGAATTGGATTTTCTGGTGATCATTCGGCTAGGTCGAAGTCCAGAATTGAATCGTATCTACTTCATTAATTGCAAGACTAATGAAATTCACGGCAGCAGAACAAAACACAGATCTCAGCTCTCTCCAAGACAATGAGGAACTAAAGAGTAAAAGCAGAGAAGAAAAAAATACCTTCAATCTAATGATGTACTCTTCCTCCTTCTCCACAAAAAAACTATTAAATTTCTCAAGCTCATCCTCCAACAGCTTAATGAAATTCATCTCCTCGCTCGACGAAAAATCATCCTTCTCTCCATCCGCAGCACAACTCCCGACGGCAGCATCGATTCTCGGTCGCTTGCTCGGCCGGTCACCGCCTTTTGGCTCCACAAGCTTGAGCCGCTTCTTCAACTCCTTGTATGACAGAAACTTGTCCCGCCACTCCGGCAAAGTTTCTTCGATCTGGTTGCTCAGACTCTTGCCGAACTTCATAACCACGGATTCCGGCGCCGGAGAAACAGAAACGGAAAGGGAAACGAGAGAGAAATTGGAATTGGAAATGGAATTTGTGGTGGTGGGAATGGCGATTGTGAGGTCGAAGCAGTTGGAAAAAGAAAGGAGAATCGAGGGAATATAACGGTAGGCGAAGAATATTCGAAGAATTAATCTGCGAATATCCCTTTAATCTTCTTTCAGCATCTTTAGCGTTTTATTCCCTCAAAGCGATGGTTGAGGATTTATTATTTTTTTAATAATTTATTTTCTGTTTATTTATTACATGGTGGCTTGTGATTGGTTGGCTATATTTAAATAATATTCTCTAAAGCCTTTTTTTTGGAAATTCTAAAAATTAAGCTTTAAATGGATAAATTGAAGTTTTAAGATATAAATTAAATGTGTAATAAAAGAAAATATATATATATATATATAAATGTGTTATCCTCTATCAAGTTTTCGAACGTTTTGATTGTTTTCCTCTTCTAATTACGTTAGGTGCGTAGATCAAGATTTTGTCTCGTTGATTGGATGTCAACTAACCCTTAGTATAGATAAGTCTTAACGGGGCCTAGTGAGCATCAAAGATTTCAAAATAAAAAGGTTACGAGAGGACAACTTAATTGATAGAGGTGTTCAGACTCGATAATCAGACCAACCGGAACTGTAAATGTTGAGTTGGATTAGTTTTTTTTTTTTTTTTTTTTTTTTTTTTTTTTTTTTTTTTTTTTTTNTTTTTTTTTTTTTTTTTTTTTTTTTTTTTTTTTTTTTTTTTAATTTAGATTTGGTTGAATGTTTAAAAAATCAAAATAATTAAAAAAAAAAAAGCCTGACAATTTCACTTGGGTTAGATTGTATTTTCAGTTTGGATCTAGTTCAGTTAGAATTTAAAAAAAAATTGAAAATTCTGTTTGATTTGTGAGTTGACCTTTTTATTGTCGGGTCAACCTAACCATCTCGAAAGTAAAGTTACAATCCAACCCTTTTAAAGAAAAATTAAAAATATTTAACATTTGTAACGAGTTAGAGTGATATGTTTCGTAAATATTTTATATTTGAATTTATGAATTTTTAGTTATTAATAGTATGGATAAATAATAATAAAAAAAAAAAAACAAGTTATTATAATATTACAAATTTAAAGACAGTGGGTTCAATAGGTAATACTATGAAAGTATGGGGGTTAGTTTGCAAATATTCAACAAATAAATAGTTTATATCCAGAGGAAAAATAAGTAAATAAGTAAATAAATAAAGAAGGAAGAAGAAGAAAAGATGAACGCGCGGTTGCGGTTTGTTTATGTTAACTGCTATTAACGGTATAAAATTACGGAGTTCCGCGGGATTCCGTAAAGTTTCAATGGAAGTCGCAATCGCAACAATATCCTATCCATTCATACCTTGTTTATCCCTTTCTATCCGGTATTAGGGATTTCGATTTCGATTTTTCGATTTCGGTTTCGATTTCGGCATATTTCGATGTTTTGATGTTTGTAGTTTGATTTTTTGCCGAGTATGGTGACGCCAGAGAGCTGGATCTCTGTTTGGATCGATCGATTTCTCTCTTGTTTGGGGTAAGTTCTCTTGCTCTGTGTCGATCGCCCCATTTCTGTTATCAATTTCTCTCTGGTTTTTGGAATTCTTTGATTCGAAGCATGCGGATTAGAAACTTAAGCGTTGCTCCGGATTGTTTGCTGTTGATTAAATTTGTTCGTCTGGTTGGACCTGTTGCTTGGAAAATAGATGAAGTTTCATGGATTCGTGATATATTGGTCTTATGATTGTCATTGTTATTTCAGAGGTTATATTTTGGATGACTGTTTTTAACTGATGGATGAATTTGTTCTACAAATATTTTCGGCTTCTCTTATGAATAGTTAGGAGCTTTGGGAGAGATTTCATTGATCTTAATCTGCAATTAAGGAATTTTTTTAGTGAAACAAATACCAGTTGGTTCTTAGTAGCAAGTCTTCAGCTCTGAAGAAGGAGATGAAGATAGCTTCATTTGTCTTCCATGGATTGAACATTTACACATTGTGGTAGGCATATTTTTAATTAGGTTAATTTTTTCCCTTACTAATAAATTCTTTCACGACGAAGCATTGACCGAATTATGTCAGAAATGGACAAGTTTAAGTGAAAATTTGGGATATTATAGGAAACAGAATCCATGATAATCCAAGCAAAAATACATCAGGATATTTCTTCGTCTTGGCAATTTCGTGACCTCGTTGAAGAAGATGGACTATGCAAGGAGCTCAAAGCTCTTATATTGAGTGGATCATAATTGAACTCATCATTCAAATCGACTCTTGCTCACAAATGTATGCTCTTTAAATTAGTAGCAAGCTAACACGTGTCGTATATCATTGATTTATCAAGTGATTGATCATTTATCTTTCTTCAATTCACTAAAGTAGTTCACCTCTCTGTTACAATGTTTCATGTTTCGTTGTCATTAACTGAGTCAATGACATTGAGGGTTCATTTTTCGAAGTTATATTTCAGACAGTGATCTGCATAGTCGGTTTATTTCAAACTTCATTGAGGTCCCAAAGTTTGACCGTGTTATTGAATTCCTCTCTCGACTTAAAAGTATGATGGACGCAATTAGAAATGGCAGTATCATGATGTTCATGCATTTGCATTTATCATTAATTCAACTGTTGTGTTGTTGTCTGTTCTGGAATTATCCTAACCGCAGTTTTCAATATGATTCTAACAAAGGAAGTGTTTCTTTTTGTAGGAGCACCAAATGTGCACCTGCTATCACCGGGAATAATCTGAATTCTAGGATGCCAAGCATGTCAGAAGATTTTTGGAGCACAAGCACGTGTGATCTCGATGAGTTGATTACGCTTCAATCTCGACAGAGCTCATTTATCAGCATAATAAATCATAACCCTAAACATGGAGGTGGCACTGACGATCTGAGCAATCATTCTGACTTTGTAAATCATGGTAAACTCAGATCTTATTTTTCACTGCTTGCTGGAAAGCAAAAAGGGTGTTCCTTTGTTTGCACTTGCATTCTTCATATAGCTTTAGTATCATTAGTTATATGCAAATTGCAGGTTTGATTCTTTGGACTCAGACCAGGCTTCAATGGATCGGAAATTATGAGCCTACGAAACGAACCAAAAAAAATCATTTTACAGGATTAAGGTGAGTCTAATTTTGACACAGCTACATACTCGTTCACGGCATCAACCTCGCTGTTAAATATGTCCACATGCTTATAATACAAATGAAATCTGTCTCTGGCCGATATTCCTAGTAATTAACTGAATATTTTCTCATTGTATTTGCTAGTCGTTCGAAATGTTGGGTCATTACAAATCAAGTAGAAGTTTTGAGTTGAAGAGCACACGCATTTTGGAGAGTCAAATTTCCAAATTTTGAGTCATTGAAAATTTTTGCCCCAACCATATTGCTTGGTTTCTGTTTGCAGTTGGTATATGACCAAAGACCTCTTGCTGGAAAACAAAAAACCTTTTCCTCGGCCCATACCTTTATCTGTAAGGCTGCTCTTTACTGTTTTCTTTAGTTGAGTACACATTCAAATCCTCTGCTTTGAATATGTAATCATGATACAATTGACAGGAAATGGTAGACTTTCTGATAGAAGAATGGGAAGAAGAAGGGCTGTATTATTGAGCCAATCAATGGAAATAAAACACCATCACCTTGTACATACACCATGTTTGTGACTTTTTCAGAGTGTAATTAAACGGCCACTGCCTTAACTTGGGATCAATTCGGTATTAACATACAAAATGACACCACCTGGTTGGCTAACCTTTTCTCTATTGGTACATTGAAGATCTCTTGGGGAGAAGCCAAGTGTGGAATAAACTGAAATCCAAGTTCTTCTGAATGATCGGCGAGCTAAACGGTGAGCCTCCTCCGACCATCAGCTAATATATATACTTCATACATACATATCGAGCTTTCTTCGTTGTTTCTTCTACACATGACAGTATTTTAAAATATGCAGAAGCATCAACTTTGTAGTGTGTTTAATACAATGTTGATGATTGACTTGTTGTAATTGATGTATAAGAATAGATATTAATCTCTAACCCACAAACTTTCTTGCTTTGAATTCTGATAATACTGAGCTTGATTTTGTGGTGATATTGCTGTCAACTTTGTGTTGGATGGTAGAGAACAAATAATAGACAAAGTCAAGTCCCCATTGTCCTTTTGTCTGGTGGTTGTGGCATTAAAAGACTATAAATTTTGAAGGGTTTATGGTTGAAGATGCAAAGATGCTTTTGAAACTCATTTTCAGCTGAGAATACTCACTGTGGTTAGGATATGGACCCTACCTCTTTAGATCAGAAATCTTATCTCCTTTTCTGATAATATAGAATGTAGGCAGGAGGAAGTGGAATCATTTTTGGTGCCATAAATGTTATCACTCAAATTATGTACTTTATGAGTCACAATGAGAGAGAAAATGATCTTTGTTTTCTTTTTCAATGGTTCATATATATAGGAATATATCTTTTAAAAAGAAATATAGAGGATTTCAGGCCGTTTAGATAATGGTACTCATCACGAGTTTGTATATTGCAGCAGTCAGATTCAAAATATGATAGTGGCCTGCATGGAGATAGCTCCCGGTAAAATTTTCATTTTCTATAGTTGTTATATAATCTCTATGCATAGAAGTATAATGGTATTCCTTATGAGTTTGTACGTTGCAGTGGTCAGATTCAAAATATGATAGTGGCTTGCATAGAGATAACTCCTAGTAAAATTTTCAGTGTTTAGGGTGAATAACTTATCTTATGAGACCAGTTGAAGTACTCATAGTACTCAGTAGGTAGGTTTTATAAAGGTGAAAAACTACTTAGATGACATACGGAAAAAGATTTCAATTTCTGACTAACTTCCGGTAAAATTTTCAGTGTTTAGGGTCAATAACTTATCTTATGAGATGAGTTGAAGCACTCATAGTATTTGTAGCTAGGTTTTATAAAGGTGAAAAACTACTTAGATGATGTACGGAAAAAGATTTCAATTTCCGACTATTGCATAGAGATAACTTCTAGTAAAATTTTCAGTGTTTAGGGTGAATAACTTATCTTATGAGACCAGTTGAAGTACTCATAGTACTCAGTAGCTAGGTTTTATAAAGGTGAAAAACTACTTAGATGACATACGGAAAAAGATTTCAATTTCTGACTAACTTCCGGTAAAATTTTCAGTGTTTAGGGTCAATAACTTATCTTATGAGATGAGTTGAAGCGCTCATAGTATTTGTAGCTAGGTTTTATAAAGGTGAAAAACTACTTAGATGATGTACGGAAAAAGATTTCAATTTCCGACTATTGCATAGAGATAACTCCTGGTAAAATTTTCAGTGTTTAGGGTCAATAACTTATCTTATGAGATCAGTTAAGTTAAAGTACTCATAGTACTCGTAGTACTTGTAGCTAGGTTTTATAAAGGTGAAAAACTACTTAAATGGTGTACGGAAAAAGATTTCAATTTCCGACTATTTATTTAAAGATCACATGAACTCTAACTCGAAAAGTTCGTCGTTCAAAGTTTGACTACGGGTAATGAACTTTATCCCTTCATCTATATTCAATGAAAATTATGAAAAGAAAGCTGTCCGTCCTTCTTTGACTTTTGGAGGCCATTTAAAGAGATGAGACATTGTTGAAGCATGATGTGAACTGATTGAGAACTACTTTTTCTTCAATTAGCTTCACAAGGGACCCTTCCCAAAGAGATGAAAATCAAAAATGAAATTAATTCATTACTTTATACTCTAAAGTTTGATCACAAACGACTTTAAGAGGATTATGTCGTGTTATTATTATTTCATTTACATTTTTTTTAATATTTTTGTCGTTTTTTCATATATACATAAGATGCAAAGTGTCATGTTAATATTATGGTTGGTAATCAATAATCTCGAGATTGTTCCAGAGGTTGCTTTAATTTGTTTCTTAGAACTTTTTAATAGCTACATTTACCATAATGTTTTTGTAACGTCCCATACCCATGACTTAAAATTCGGATACAGTTCCCGATGGTATCAACATTCTTATGCATCTCTCAAAACATAATCATGTTATCTACTGCCCACTGTTAGTAGATATTGTTCGTTTTGGGCCGTTACGAATCGCCATCAACCACTCGATTTTAAAATGTGTCGCTAGGGAAATGTTTTCACACTTTTACAAGGAATGCTTCGTTCTCCTCTTCAATTGACATATGATCTCAAAAGCTAACCGTTTTTACGATGAACCTTGGCCTTCTCAAATCTTTCTAAATTCAACAAACATATCCAAAGGGACCAAATAAAACCATGTGATTCTTTCTCTCTCTCCACATGAGAATTTTTATTTTTATTTATGTTTTTGAAGATTCAATGTGATTTGTGGAGATTTTAGTTGATTTAATCCATCAAAATGATAGAATATTAGTGGAATCACATGTAAATAATTGAATAAATTAAATGAATATTATAAGAAGTGGGGGCAAAGAAAAATACATTGAATTTTTAACCTATGGTTTTATTAATATTGACCTCAAGAAATGGTCTAAATTGGAGTTTATATATTTATTTATTTATTTATATATTTCAGATTCAGATTCATTGCACATTTAATCTATAAAAAATTGTGAAAAATTAAGAGAACCATATGGTTTGGAAGGCCACCCCATCGTGACCTCTGTCCTCCCACAAAATCTTTTTTTTTTTTTTATATATATATAAATAATATTAAATGAATAAAAAAATATCTATAAATTTTGTATTTAGAAAACTTAAATTAATACCTTAAACTTAAAATAATAATAATAATAATAATAATATAATATTTATTTATTTATTTATTAGGTTTAAAAAATATTTAAAATATTTTATTTTTTTATAAAAAATACTCAAAACTCACTCATAAATTATCTCCAAATTTATTTCATAACTATATTTTAAAATTTTGAAGTTTTTAAAAAAATTTATGAACAAAGTCATTTTTTAAACACTTTTGAAATAATTTTAAAACGTGAAATCACATGCTGGAGATGGAAAAAAACATTCTTTACAAGTATGTGGAAACCTCTCACACCTAAAGAAGATAATATCTGCTCACTGTCGTTTAGGTTGTTGTAATATTAATGGTTTTCATCCAAAACTATAGTCGGTCAGCCTTTTTCAACTTCTTTTAAATTTAAGGATTTTGAGGTTATTTATTTATTTATTTATTTATTTATTTTCAAACATGATATTAAGATTTATAATTCTATTTGAATTAGTTTTTTAAAAAATTACATTTTAAATTATTAAAAATTTAATTTTAAGAATGATTAGAGAATAAATAATTGTAAATGAAAACTGAAGCTAAAAACAAAATATAATAATTACAAATAGAAATTTCTAGACTGATTTTACTTGCCTTAATTAAAATTATTTTTTAAATAAAAAAAATTAGACTAAAGCTTTATTCCATACTTTTTATTTTATTTGGAAAAAGTATTTGATAGATTTTTTTTTATTGGAATTATTTGATAGATTTTTTTTTATATAGTTACGTCGACGTATAACCGTAATCATAGTTCAATAATAATTGATATATTACATTATTAATTAAGCGTTCATACAAACAAAAACAATACCATTAATAATATTTTTTTAATTTATTTAAAGATATTTATATGATCTAATGTGAACCTCTAGAGTTACATTTAAAAATTAAAGTAGAAATTTGGTCTGATTCGATGAACCTAAAAATATAGGATTCACAACTGAACCTAACCATACCTTACTTTTAAAATTACGATGAATATTAAGAATATTTGACGTCGCTAATTATTTTTTAAAAACAATCTGACTACCCAACCAAACTCGAGAAAACAAAAGGTTGGGTTTTGAGACCGTGAATCATTTTCAGATCATTTGTGTCACATATCCAATTTCAATGTAACCCAATTCAATCTAATCTGTATAAACCCTCAACGAACAGGGTCGATATAAAAAGAATTAAATGTTCAAATTTTCGATAGTTGAATTAAATATGACGTATTATTACCTAGTATTTCCAATTTGCCAACTACATATTTTAATTTACAAGGAGTCAACAGCTCATCATTCAACTTTTTGGTTGGGATTCATGCACTATTTGAACCATAATATTATAAAAATTAAAAATAAAAAATGAAAAGGGAAGTTCCGGTAGCCAGTAATGGCGAGGTTGTTCGGGCAAACGGGCAAGCGGGCAAGCGGGCAAGCGGGGGTCGGCTGCGAATTTGCGGTTTTTGGGAAAGATACAATGCACATTCACAAACCCACCTTGAATTCATGCCCACAATATCGACCTCTTTTCATCACCCACAGTCACTGAGAGTGACGTCTACCCCCTGTTTCTTGTTTTATGTAATAATCAATTCTATAATCGAAATATATATACTCTTTTCATTCCATTTCTTCTTCCCACATCTCAAAATTTCCCTCTCCTCCTCCCCTTTTTTCCCCTGTGCTTATTGGGGTTTTCTGTAAATGCTCTTCTTCCTTCTCCCCTGCTTCATTTCCTGCTTCTTCTCCGTGTTCTCTGCCGTTTTTGAGTTCGATTCCTGCCTCTGGGAGCATTTTTCCTTGCGATTCTTCTCGATTCTTGCTCTGTTCTTGTCCCCATGCCTACCCTCGTCAATTACGGTGGTGAGTTCTTCGATCTTTTTCATTTTCAACCGGTTTTCCTTGATGGGTTTCGAGTTTTTTCTGTTTATGAATCTGTTTCTGCGATTTTGTGATCTGGGTTAAGGATATTTAGTCCTTCATGATAGTTTACTATATATATCCATCAGCAAATATCCTTCTATTACGGTTTACACAATAGATATCATATTTGTAGTTTTGTCTTGTATCCATTTATTGTTCTTTCCATATAAAGGATTAAGGGGTGGTTTTAGCAAATATTCTCAAGTTAGTGGTGAGTTCTTTGATCTTTTTGATTTTCAATCGGTTTTCCTTTATGGGTTTCGAGTTTTTTCTGTTTATGAATCTGTTTCTGCGATTTTGCGATCTGGGTTTGTTTGAGAATGGTTGATTTTGATGGAAATATAGAAATCTTTAGCTAGTTTGTGAGTGGATCTGTTTTAGAATTTGTTTGGTTGAGAGTGTTCCAAGGATGAACTTAGTTTTCTTATGAACTGTTGCATAGTAGAGGCTTTTAGTTTGGAACTTTTGGCTGATTTTTGTGGTTGTTATTGGGTTTTAGGTGATGATGAATGTTACCCTGGGGTTTCATTTTGCCCCAGTCCCATGGATTTGGATGGCTTGCTGCCATCTAGCTCTCATGTCGATCTGTATTTTCGACCTAGTAAGAGAGCTCGGATCGGTGCTCTGGTCGTGTTTGGAGGAAGAGCAATTGAGCAGGTGTGTAAACCATCCATTGAATCTCTTCCTGATGAGTGTCTCTTTGAGATCTTCAGGCATCTGCACAGTACTAAAGAAAGGAGCTCATGTGCGGGCGTCTCGAAACGGTGGCTTATGCTTTTAAGTACTATTCGTAAGGCGGAAATTTGCAAGAGCAATCGTGCATCGATCAGTCAGTTGGTCGAACGTTCGAATGTTGTGCAGAAGAAGCCTGAATCTGATGAGATTTCGGATCATGAGGATGAAAGTAATGGTTTTCTTACAAGATGTTTGGAAGGAAAGAAAGCTACTGATGTAAGACTTGCTGCTATTGCAGTAGGAACTAGTGGACGTGGGGGTTTGGGTAAGCTTTCGATTCGAGGAAGTAACTCTACTCGTGGAGTTACTAATCTCGGTATTTCGGCGATTGCCCATGGTTGCCCTTCTCTTCGGATGCTTTCTCTGTGGAATGTACCATCGGTCGGGGATGAAGGATTGTTTGAAATAGCTAAAGAATGTCAGTTGCTCGAGAAACTTGACCTCTGCCACTGCCCTTCGATCTCGGACAAAGGTTTGATTGCAATTGCGGAGCGATGCACAAATTTGACCTCGCTAATCATTGAATCATGTCCAAACATTGGAAATGAGGGTTTGCAAGCAATTGGAAAATCGTGTTCTAAACTACAGACGATCTCTATCAGAGATTGCCCTCGTGTCGGGGATCAAGGTGTTTCAAGTCTATTCGCGTCATCTACTTGTGCCATAACGAAGGTAAAGATCCAAGCAATGAACATAACGGATTTCTCTCTTGCTGTGATTGGACACTATGGCCGAGCCATAACACACCTAACCCTTAGTGGTCTTCAGAACGTTAGCGAGAAGGGGTTTTGGGTAATGGGAAGCGCTAAGGGCTTGAAGAAATTAACGTCGGTGACAATTGCTTCGTGCCGAGGGATGACCGATGTGAGTCTTGAAGCAATGGGAAAGGGAATTGCAAACCTGAAGCAGATGTGCATTCAGAAGTGTTGTTTTGTATCAGACAACGGATTGATAGCGTTCGCTAGAACTGCAGGATCGCTTGAGACCTTGCAACTAGAGGAGTGCAACAGAATCACGTTATTGGGCATCGGCGGTGCCCTCTCGAACCATATTCGGAATTTGAAGTCTCTTACTTTGGTGAAGTGCATGGGGATCAAAGATATAGCTGAAGAAATAACATTGCCGTCTCTTTGCACCTCCCTTAGATCCTTATCTATCCAAAACTGCCCTGGCTTTGGCAGTGCTAGTCTTTCAATGGTCGGGACGTTATGTCCTCAACTTCAGCACGTTGAATTGATTGGCCTTTACAGTATCACGGATGCCTCGATGCTTCCACTTCTCGAGACCTGTGAAGGGCTCGTGAAGGTGAACCTTAGTGGTTGCGTAAATTTGACAGACGAAACAATCTCAACCTTGGTTAGGCTACACGGAGGAACGATTGAAGTTCTGAATCTCGACCGTTGCAGAAAGATCACTGATGCAAGTTTGGTAGCTATTGCAGACGCGTGCTTATTATTAAACGAATTAGATGTTTCGAAGTGTGCAATCACGGACGCAGGGCTTGCAGTTCTTTCATCTTCAGAGCAAATAAACTTGCAAGTCCTTTCCCTATCGGGTTGTTCCGAAGTATCGAACAAGAGCTTGCCGTTCCTAGAAAGATTGGGAAAGTCACTTGTTGGCTTGAATCTCAAAAACTGCCACTCGATCAGTAGTGGCACGGTCGGGATGATCATCGAGGACTTATGGAGATGCGACATTCTCGTCTAACCATGAATGGTCAGCGAGATCGACAAGCTCTTAGGTACGTCAAGTTTATAGCAGCAGCACTCAGCAAACTCTTTCCTCCGTAAGCAGCGGGCTTCGGGGCAGACGGATTACTCGATGTGTGGCTTGGTTGTTTTAGGGACCTATGGCCAATTACCTTCATTTTTTGCAAGCTTTCTCTAGCTTGTTCAACTGTTTTGGGTCTCCATTGATGGAAGGCCTCCTCTTTTATGGCCATGGGTCCCTAAGAAAATACCATCACCAAGTCCCAGTTAAGATTTGCCTGTCTTTGTAGGCCCACTGATCTAGCTACTGGTTTTGTCAAGCTGAGATTGTACGACACATTCCTTCTATAACGTGTTTCATATATGTCGTGTTCGGTTAAACGAGCCCGTGTCCCCTCTAGTGTCGGTCTTTCATGTTCTCTTGTGTATGTTGTGTTGCTTTGAGTGTTCGGTTAAACAAGCCCCTTCACGTCGAGTCTTTCATGTTCTCTTGCATATGTTGTGTTGTTTCATGCTGGTCATTGTAAGTGTAAGTGTCGATGTCTGTTGAACGTGAGCTTCGGTATCGGTAGTCTGTTTGTTCGGTCTGCCGTTACAACCTCTGGTTGTTTTTTTTTCTCATTCCAAAGCCACTTCAATATAGTCGTGTTTGGTAACTATTGTGTTTGTTTACTACTAAATAAAGAGAAGAGATGTCCTTCTTTGTCTCATAAATTCATTCTTTTACTCGAGCGTTTATTTTTCAGCTCAATCTTAGCATAGTTTGACTCGTTAAGTTGTATATCTTCAAGTAATAGGTACAATATTTGAATTCCTTTAACTCATGTGTTGCTGAACTCGTAATAAAAACGAACCCGTTTGGTAATTTATAAATTTTACTCTTGATCGAGGCTTAAATTCTCGACTAAAGCCTTTTTTAAGATAGCGCAGAAGGTCTTGTAGGGTCGCATATAATATCGAAGCTTAAATTTCTATTTTAAAAAATGTTAATAAATTTTTGAAGATTATAATTTTTTTTTTTTTTTGCTCTCCATCTTTTCTTATAAATAGAAAATTATTTACAAATAAAGAGGGGGGATTTTATACACAAATAAAAACCATGAAACCCCATTTCAAAGAACCTTCGCCGGAGGCCGAAATCCTCCACCAAGTCCCTAAATTCCGGCCCCTCGCCTCCGACGATCGGCGGGCTCGGAGTCCGAAAATGGATGGGGGAGGATTGTTCTGTGGTGTTGACGAAGATGGGGAGCGTTCAGATTGCGGTGGCGGAATGGTCGGCGTTTTGGTTGATGGTGTAGTGGGCCGCGGTGGTTGTGGTGGTGACGGCGGTGGCTCGGATGGCGGCGATGATGGTTGCTCATTCGTTGTTGTTAAGCTATTATGCTTGGTTGTTGATGGAGGTAAATGCTTTGAAATTCCATCTTCTTTAATTTTGTTGAAATTCCTTGCCATTCCTTTGATTCTGTTTATTGCATTATGTTTGGTTTATGAAGAAATTGGGGTAGAAGAATGAAATGAGGGATGAAGATTCATTTTTGTGAGATCTAGCTTCGGTGGGAGTGGAAAACGAAACTTTTTTTACAAGGAAACCTCTCCTTAACGGACCCGTTTTATCACATTGAGGGAAAGCTTGGAAGGAAAAATCCAAGAAAGACAATATTTTAGTGGTGGGTTTGGGCTCCTTAAAATAGTATCAGGGCTAGACACCGAGCTATGTGTCAATGAGGACGCTGACCCCAAGGAGGTAGATTATGAGATCCCACATCAATTGGAGAGGAACTCTGGCCCCCATGAGGGTGGATTGTGAGATCCCACGTTGATTGAACTAGCCTCCAAGGTGATGGATTGTGAGATCTCATATTGGTTGGAAAAGGACTCTGACCCTCAAAGAGTGAATTGTGAGATCCCACATCGGCTGAAAAGGGACGTTAGCCTCAAAGGTGGACTTTGAGATCTCACATTGGTTGGAAAGGGACTCTAGCCCCAAAGGGGTGGATTGTGAGTTTCCACATCGATTGAATCAAGATGCTGACCTTCAAGGAGATAGATTGTGAGATCTTACATCGGTTGGGGAGGGACTCTAGTTTCCAAGGGGTGGATTGTGAGATCCCACATCCGATGGAGAGAGAAACGAAGGAAATATCTCTTTAATAGATACGTTTTAAAACTACGAGGGAAAATCCTAGAAGGCCAACGATAACAATATTTGCTAGTAATGAGCTTGAACTCTTCGAACTAACTCAAGAAATTTGAATTATTGTTTCACCCTTGTAGAGGCTTGTGCTTAAAAGAAAGGAGGGCTTATGGTTAGTCCTAGTTTCATTCTTCTCAGCAATTTGATGGGTTTTCTCAGCTAAACAGGTTCGTGGATACTTGATAAAAGCTCAAGAGCATTGTGGAAGAGCGATCTCGACAAAACCGAACGATAGGATTGTGCTATCGATGTATGCCAATTTGATATGGAAGAATCGTAAGAATGCCTCCTGAGCCAAGAGTTTCCATGTTCAAGTTGCTAAAGCTTCCCCTAATGATAGGTAAGAAACAACAAGATACGAAGATATTGACTAAATGGAACATGATCCGACTTTTTTATAAACTAAAGCTACATAAATGTGCATCAGCTCAAAAATCAGAAGTTTGAATCTGTAAATCAGGGGATTGTCAGGGGATAGAGAGCTATCGCTCTTAATTCTCTGACCTGTTTTTGTTTGCCTCTTATGCACAGTTTCTTTGGGATGTTGAAGAAGACGAAGACTAGGAAGAAGTTGATTGCTGTTGCGAGCCGTTTGGTGTTCGAGTTCAGCCTTAGCTCACTCCTATACCTGCGGCTTCTTAGGTTCTCTCTCAAATCTTCTTTGGTTGTTTTTTTCTTCCCCATGAAAACATGATCTCCAAAACGGTATGAAGTCTATCGGTGTAAGTCAGTTGAACACTGTGATTGATATGTGAGTAGGTGCACCTCTTCTTACCGAGTGTGAAGTTTCTTCTCCAAAATGAACCTCTTTAGTTGGAGAACACTTAAGTTATTTACCTTAACCAATAGAGGTTGGCTTAGGCTTTCACGAGAGCACCGCTCGTAGATGCGAGAGCAAAATGAAGAATGAAGCTATAGTCGCCCACATTTTTTTAGAAGGTTGTAACATGTTGGGCTTAACTCCAAACATGTTGGGCTCAAACTTTACACCTAGTTATAGTATGACAAAGTCCTTTTCATGTCTATTGTTAGTTTCGAGTTGAGGTCAGTGGATAAGACAATAATCATAATTCTAAAAATCGATATTCAATTCTTTACTTTTGTTGAACAATATTTATACCTTATAGAGCATCGTAAAGGAATCATATGAACATGAACCAAAATATGACACTTGAGTAAACGAGAGGTATATAAATGAACCGAGACCACATCTAAAGGAAAGAGATTTTGAGGATAAAATGATAACGAACTATATCAACAAGGTAATCTTTCTTTTCGGTAGCTCAATCATAAGAACTCTAAAAGTAAGTTCTTCCTTTATTCAAAAGAGAATGATCCGTTTGAACAACAAACTTCTTTTTATAATGATAAAATATTGCTCGATTGAGTCGGGTATGATTTCATTTTTAAACCCTTCGAAAAAGTCTCAACTTTTATACATATGAACTATTATGTCGTCTTTACTAAGGAACGACGAAGTTCATATTCCGAACCAAGCTAGTTAAGATCAAATGGATGGAACAGAAATATGATGGGATGTTTGATTGATTCTAAGAAACATAATAAACAAAGTGTGTTTGGGATAATATATAACACTGACTTTTAGCAGCCTTTTTCCATACACACAAAACACATTGCTTTTCACACACACACTCATACCTAATTATTCTCTTGTTAGGACACCCCAAATGGCTACCCGCCAATCCTCTCTCCCCCGACACGAAATAATCGATCACGATAATGTAGGTCTCGTTCGATAACAATAATGTAGATCTCGTTTGATAACAATTTGTATTTTTATGAACATCCCTATCTTTTACCAATATTTTCAAAATGTACTGCAACCTAGTTGAAAAAGCGGTAGTTTTTTTTTTTTTTAGAATTTGACCGAGTTATAGAAGGACAACTACGTTATGAATGACAACTTCATTGAATAGTTTTTTTTCCCGAAACTCGAAATGAGCAAGTGACCTAATGTTCTCTCTCTTTTATAGGACGAGGGCAACTTCATTGAATAGTTTTTTTTCCCGAAACTCGAAATGAGCAAGTGACCCAATGTTCTCTCTCTTCTATAGGACGAGGGCCGACATTGAATTTTCTCGCTCTTATCTATCTCCATGTGGCGAAATGGGAAACCAATAGATATGGATAGGGACTAGAGGGGGACATACAAAAGGATATATGAAGATCATTGACCAAATTGGCACCATGGAAAAGAGAATGGAAGGGCTAAGAAGAACTTGTCCTTTTGTGTTCACATTGGTTGCATTATTGTCTATCATTGTGCTTCAAACCCACTTTTTCTTCACATCTCTTCTCCACAAACACCAACCATCTCATGACAGATATTTTAGTTTTGGAAGATATTTTTCACATGATCGACATCGTTTAATTTACCCGACAAGATTAAGTTTGGTGGGTTTAACAGTAATTTGAACATAGTTGCGTAAAAAGTAAGAAATTATAGTAACGTCTCATGCCTAGGATTCAAATTAAGAGTTTGGAATTTGGATTTGAGACTTCATGGCCCGACATTCTTCTACGATATTATCACGTTACCTATTTGTATTAAACTATTTCTAAGAGTGAAAACTATTCCCTTAACTAATATAGGATTGCTTCAAGCTAAATGTCACAATCTCATTCTTGTGACAGTGAGAAAGCGATTATGTGGTATTTGTTCTAACCCGACGAACAAGTTAGCTGTATGAAAACTGTAAGTCGCAAACAAATCAGACGTATGATCAAGCCTTAATCACGTTTGAGAGAAAGTGTCTTAGAAGACGTTAAAGGCTAAAAGCAATTAGGCAACAACTACAACTTTGATAGCATATAACAATATATGAAGAATTGATGACTAGTCACATTCTTTATAGTACATTTTAAGGTATTTTAACTTGCACAGGTGCCGACCCTATTTTGGTAAACAGTCATACACCCTCGTATTATTATGATACGACTAATAAGACCTAACTATATATGAAAGTAAGTTAAAACGGGAATGGGTGAGAGAAAAATTAAATAATATAGGCAGAGAGAGAGAGAGAGGAGATGGAAATGAATGCCAAACAAGTATGAATTTGACGTTTCAGATTCTAAGTGTCAGAACATGTTTTTATGATAAATCAGTCTGAACAATTTACCATAGATCTCAACACTCCCCTTTTCTCTTTCTATCTCTATATTATCTTTTTTTTTAAATAATATTTTTTAAGCTTTTAGTTAAACGAAAGATCCCACGTTAGTTGTAGACGGGAACAAAACATTCTCTAGAAGGGTATGGAAACCTCTACCTAGTAGTCGCGTGTTAAAATTGTGAAGTTGACGGTAATACATAATAACGGGCTAAAACGGACACATAAAAGTCAAAGATTCAAGTTTCTGTCCACATGTGAAATATAGAAAAGAAAAAAGCCCTAACATCATAGTTCCTATACGTGTGTCGTTATCTAACACATTAACCCTAAAAATTAAGAACTTTGGTAATATACTCAATGTCGTTTACTTTAAAAGAGAACAATATCTGCTAGCGGTAGACTTGAGTCATTACGGTATCTCTTTTTGTGTTTTTTATACTTTTTTTTTTAATCACTTAGGTTAAGACGAAACGTAACGTCTAATTTATTCTAAAGTTTATATTTCGGAAAAAAAAAAGCACCAAATATGTTAAATCAATTGAACGATTAAATAACAAGAGACGATCTCACATGAAGAGCAACTTCTTGTTTAGGGTTATCAGATGAGAGATTTTCATAGATCAGCCTGACTAATAGTTAATTTGCTATGCTACACATCAAATATAGAACATAGAGTAGGGATAATAACTTTTTTTGGAGGGTCAATAATTGTGAGATCTCACATCGGTTGGAGAAGAGAACAAAACATTTCTTACAAGTGTGTGGAAATCTCTCTGTAACAGATACGTTTTAAAACCATGAGACTGATGGTGATACATAACGGATAAAAACAAACAATATATGGTAGCAGTGAGCTTGGACAGTTTCAAATGGTATTAGAGTCAGACATTGGGCGACGTGCCAGCGAGGACGTTAGGCCACTAAGATCCCACAAGCGTGTGGAAACCTTTCCTTCTACCTCTTCCTAACATACGTATTTTGAAACCGTGAGGTTGACAACAATACGTAACAAGTCAAAATGGACAATATATCTACTAGTGGTCTACTTTTTTTTTACCAGTCCTTCTCTTCATTTGTCTAGATATTTTTCTCGAGTAAACACAAGTTATTTCAAAGGTTTATCTCCTCTCTTTGGTGAATGTATTGACATGGAGCCTCTCTCCGGCATTCAGATGATCATTGACATGAACTCGATATCCAGCAAGTCGTATAGCTGCTTGTCTTAGTTCAAGTAGTACAAATAGAGTCGTATGACACATATCTATAGCAGACGGTCTCGTCTTCGATAGAAAATCAATTTCGTGGTATGAATTTGCTTCCCTCATTGCATGAAAAGCATATAAAGGCAAAAGAAGAACTGATGGGAGCTGTGATATGAGTTTATATAAAGTTTTCCTTTTAGCCCTTTATAATTATTTACCTTTACAAATAAGCCCATCTGTCTTTTGGCATAAAAACAAAACCTATTGTACAAAGGTATTGTTACCAAATTTAAGTTGGGATATTAACAAAAAAAAAAAAAAAAAATGATGGTAGTCAATGATAATAGGGTAGGAATGGTATTGATACGTGCTAAACCTCTCCCTAACTGACACGTTTTAAAACCATGAGGCTAATTACAATGCGTAACGGGTCAAAACAAACAATATCTGTTAGCGTTAGACTTGGGTTGTTACATGAACGATTTCATTTTTTCGATAGACTTTTGAACTTTCTTTTTGTTGTTTCATTGAAAGGTTTTTAACGTCGATATGAACATATTCATTCTGATTAATCCGTTATTCACTTTTCTAAATAACAGAAACTCAAATCTTTCATCTTTCATTGAACAAAAAATACAATATATTAAAAGACGGTATTCCACTGATTAACTTAAATTCCCGAATGAAACAGGGAAACATACGTAATAAAATCAAACACATAACATGGTAAAGGAAATTAGGGAAAATTTGAGTCATAAATTGAAGAACACATTCCCCTAACAATCAATAAAGTAGTTTGAAGTGAAGATAGAAAGGAATGGAAAAGGAAACATATGGTGCATGGCTGTTAATTTTGTCCTTAAAGAATACCATTTTCAAGCGATGAAGAAGGTCTTGAATGGGTGGAGAGGACATCATGAGATGATATCATTTTCATCATCATTTCTTTAATCAATAGTGCAGCCCTGGCACTGACATATAATGCTTCTCAGATCCCTATCAATCAAGTCATCAAAACCCAACTCAAAAACTCACTCATAAACTACAAAATAAGTTCTCAAAATTCTCTACATAAATAACCCTTCAATTTTTTTTTTTCAAGACTAGAAAATTCTGAGTTAGCTAGTTAGGTCTCATTTGAAAGTAAAGAAAGTCGATGTTCGACGAGCAAAAAAAAAAAAAGAAAAAAACTCGAACAAACAAGTTTAAATATCAATTAAACTCGAAAATAATCTCTCAAAATTACAACTTTCAAATTTCCCACCACTATTTAAACTCCTTTTCATACAAAAATAACCAAGACTAGCCTGTTTTTCATTACTCCGACCAAAAAAATTCCGACATAGCTAGTCGGACCTAATCTAATAGCTACAAATTCCTCAAACCTTAAGAAACAAAACAAAAAGTAGTTTTCAAAACCCTATTTTTAGAAAGTAAAGAACATGGATACTCTCGACAATGGTGGAAGGATTCAAGTTCTTTCTCCTAGAGAAACAAAATCGAAGAAACACTTTTAGATATCAAATCAACTCACATCATTCGGAGTCTTGAGATTGTTGGCTTCCAGCATGAGGCATTGAATGTGTGGGTAATGTGCCCACTGCCATTTTCAGAAACAAGCAAGTCAATACCCAAAAGATCGCCATATTTTCCAATAATAAAAAAAAATTGAATGTTGTACTT